AGTTGATCCACAACACCGCATCGGTGACCTTCTGTCTTCACATCGGCTAGTCTTCGATTTTGCCAATGGCTTTAAGTACGTACCAAGACACCAACTTACAAAGAACCAATAACTACTAAGTGTTGCTTAAGGTAGAGGAACAGATCAGTGGGTCATCACCAAATCAATAGGTGACCCAACACAAACAATACTATAATAGTCAAGATAGCAGAAATATTAGTTAAAAGTGCCTTTATTGTTAAAAAAAAATGTAAGTGAAACACAGATAACATATACTTCTCATAATAATTGTTGGCCTAATGTCAATCACAAAACCTTAGCCCTCAATAAAGACAACAAGCACAACTTCACTAAGAACTTCTGACAAACACTTGGTGTGCATCATAACACGAGTGGAATCCCTTACTGATAACATAATCGACAATGTTCTTTTTATTAAACGTAGATGTCTGGGCCAACTTGCGCATACCTTCGACTAATCCCATGGCCCCTGGAGAAAAGCCAGGAAAATCCCACTAGCCTTGCAGAACTCGAACGGTAACCTCTTAGGAGAATCCCAAAATCCCAATTCTTATCGATCAAAGTTGGGATCAACGATATCGTCAATGCCATGATCGGTTCCTTTAATGTTCGATGATAGTGTTGACTAGAATAGACTGACGGTAAGTTACCACATTTAACATGTGTTTAGTGGTGGAAATGGGTAGAATTGAGGACTAAAAAGCCGAACATTTTGCTGTATAAATGAAAATAGCAGATTGAGAAGAAATGGAGGACTAAAAATGTAAAAGAAGTCAAAAGTTATGAAAACAAAAAAGAGTAAAAGTGTGAGTCACCTACTCAACCAATAATCGAGGTGAGAGGTGATTGAAGATAAGCATGTCCCTACATAATGAATGCTCCCTCCTTAAACATACAAAAATAAATAAATTAAAATAATTAAATAATCTTTTTTCCAACAAAACACGACATATTTATTTTATTTTTAATGCTATACCATTAAATCTAGAGGTTGGTTAGATACATTTCGATTTTAATTTTCTATTTTATTATTTGTCTATGTTGATGTTATAATACGATTTTATGCGTTTTTAATAAAACAATAATAATTTTATTTTTAAATAAAATATAAATTTGAAGATATCATAAAAATTTTAAAAAAAATATCAATGTTAATATCAAATCTTATCATCTTTTTTATTATGTTTATCCGCAGTTAGTTACACGAATTCAGATATGGAGCTTTAATAAGTTGTACTTACGTACAATCTACTTGTAATATTGAGTTTTAAGTAATATACATTAATAAACAGTACTTTACGCATAAAAAATAATTTTTTAAGAGTTTTTGTCAAATGCTTTATAATATAGTATAGATTAGAAGTATTTTTCTCAAAATTTTGATTTTTAAGTTATTTTTGAGTTAAATATAAATTTGGTCCTTGTGATTTGCTATTTTTATAACAGATTTGGTCATTCGAACTATTTTCTATTTTTATAACAATTTTGGTCCCTCCCCAACTTTCATTTTTAGAATTTGGTCCCTCCTTTAATTAATAAAATTTGACGGCACAAACATATATCATCTAAATATAATTAACAAAGTAATTAAATAAAATTTGGAATTTAGATTTAGTCATGAAATATTTTGATAAATGTTTTGTTGTAACGAGTTGAATTTAAAACTAAATAGCCGACAATATATTAAAATAATAAGATATAAAAACGTAAATTCAAATAATTTAATATCACTAATTAATATATACAAAATATATTAGAATTAATAAGACATAAAAATATAAATTTAACGATTATATATAATAAAAATGGTTGTAATTAATAAATTATAATTATATAGAAAAGTTATCATTTAGCATTAACCGATTGAAGATCATTAGTGTTATTATTATATCTTAAATTATAACACTATTTCATCATATAATAAAACTAATAATCTTCAACCCATTAGCATTAAATTATATATATATATATATATATATATATATTTCATCGTTTTTTGTGGTTTTCCATTCTTTTTGTTTATCTTGTGTTGAGTGATAGAGAGTTGCGTTCAGAAGAAAACGCTAAAAAAATGAAAAACCAGAAAATTATGAAAGCCTGGAAAAAAGTAAATCAATGTGGTGTAATTTATTTTGCTTGATTTTTGTTTATATTTCACTTTTTTCAAATAAAAAATAAGGGTGGCAAGAGAAATGTTTTCTTAATTTATAGATATTGTTGACGTCAATTAGATTAATGGTCAATGGAGGTGGTTTCCTATGAACGGTTGAACCTCACTATGTATAACTATATGTGTGCATTTGTGTAATCGTACGTGCGTGCGTATACATACATTATGCATATATTTTTGAAAAATATATATAATATATTAAAATAAACTTAATATATAATAATTAATTAATTTAATAAACTCAAAGTATAATTTTTTTTTTTATTTTCTTAACTTAATTACGGTTTTGGTCTTTGTGGTTTGTATGGTTTTTACGAAATTGATCCCTCGAGTAAAGACAAAAGAAGGAAAATGATGAAAATGCCCTTAAGGTTAACGGAAGAACTGGATGACCGTTAAAGAGAGGGACCGATTCGTTACAAAATGACATAAGACGAGTCCTAATCTATAATAAATAAAATTTAGGGACTATCTTCGCAAAAACCACCAAACCGTTGGGACCAAATAAGTAATTTTACTCTTATCTTTTTTGTTCTTTATCCAATCAAAAATCACTACACAAAAAAATAAAACTGATTTCGATTAGGTAAAAAAAAAGAAATCAACAAAAAGACAAAAACGCCACTCATCTAACGAAATTTTTTAATGGTCGTTAAAGGAAGGAACAAAATTCAAACGTTCATGTTGTATTTTGAAACTTGCAGGACATAGAATGTTACTTTTCACAAACCACAAGGACTAAACTTGTAGTTTACTATATCTTTATAATGTTTATTTCTACAAGGTAACTTTAAATAGAATGCGATTGATTTTTTTGTCATGGGATAAAATAGACATATGAAAATATCTGACATGAAACTTGACCAGGGTTAGCAGCTTACCTGATATGATTAGCTCAACTAACCATGGTCGAGGCTGAAGGCCGAGCTGCTTCTGCTATATAATCGTCGCGTCTTCGCTTAGGGTTTCATCCTTTCCTTTTTAGTTCAATTGATACCATCATGGCGTCTGCAGATGTGGAGTTCCGTTGTTTCGTCGGTGGTCTTGCTTGGGCAACGACCGACCAGTCTCTCGAGGAAGCTTTCTCCCAGTATGGAGAGATTTTGGAATCGAAGGTCCGTTTCGTGTGTCGTGGGTTGAGATCCGAGATCTGAATCCGGCTCGATTCGGCCACGCCCGATCCCTGATCTGTGTTCTTTGTGTTACTTTGATTGATTCTGATCTCGTTTTGTTAACTACTCTCTCTAAACTGTTACTTTTATTACCTAAAACGGTACGTTTCTCGTTTTTTAAGGGACGAAGATCGATCGATTTTGGGTTTTATTTAGTTCACGTTATGTAGAAACTAGGTTTTCGGATTGAATCTAATTGGTTTTCTCGACTGTTTTTGTTTTGGTTGTGAATAGATCATCAACGATCGGGAGACTGGCAGATCCAGAGGATTCGGGTTCGTAACTTTCAAGGATGAGCAAGCGATGAGAGACGCGATCGAGGGGATGAACGGCCAGAGCCTCGACGGTCGTAACATCACAGTCAACGAGGCACAGTCTCGTGGAAGCGGTGGTGGTGGCAGACGTGAAGGTGGAGGCGGTGGATACGGTGGAGGCGGTGGTGGATATGGCAGACGTGAAGGAGGCGGCGGTGGTTACGGTGGTGGCGGAGGCGGATACGGAGGTAATGGCGGTGGTTACGGAGGCGGTCGTGACCGTGGATACGGCGGCGGAGGCGGTGGATACTCAAGGGGAGGCGGTGCTCCAGAAGGTAACTGGAGAAATTAAGAGTCGGGCAATTGATGTGTGTATGAAATTAGGGTATGGTCTGTTGTTGTCTTGTGGTTGGTGCTACTAGTCAGTCTTGTTTTTGACCGCCTGTTTGTGTTTGGTTATTGTTGAGTTTATATCAAATCATCTGCTGCTCCTTCTTTTCCTCCATGAAATTCAACTGTTTTTCTTTTCTTTTCTTTCCTTTTCTTTTGCTCAATCCTTCAAGTTGGAAATGAGGCAAAAAATGTGACGTAATTGGGGCTAATGTTTGTGGTTCAATCTGAATTGATCCCCAACTGTTCAATCACGAAGCTGTAGAAAGCTTTTAGGAAATGAGCAAGCAGATAACGAGTGAAAGATGAAACAACCCACAAAATGGTGGTGAAAGTAGAGCATCAATGAGCCAAGTACATTCATTATATGAATGATGATTCTAGGCCATAAATGAATACACACGTTAGAGGTCGACGCTTTGATCCACCTCTAAGTTGTTTACAGAAAAGAAAAGAGTATTTAGAGCACCATCAAAAGCCACCACCAACAAGGGTATTTTGCCGGTTGGATTGAGATTGAGTTTCAAAAGTCAAAAGTGTCTGAAAGTCTACTTTGAATTCAACCTCATGTGGTTATGGAGGTTCAAATACGGAGACGGGTGGTCATTTTGAGATTAATTGAGCGGGTTGGATATCAAGTTAATAAAAAAGGAAAAGAAAAAAAGAGTATTTAGAGCACCATAAAAAACCACCAACAAGGGTAGTGCTCGAATGACTGAAGGGTCACAAGCTGGTGCCTATTGGTGTGAGATTGGACTTCAAATGTCAGAATTGTTTGGTTGGTTTGAGTTTGAGGTCGAAAGATCAATAGTTTTTTGAGGTCTCATGTTCGAATTCAACCTCTTGTGGTCATGAAGGTTCAAATGCAATGGCTCTGAACTATCCACAAAACGGGTGGTCTCTCTGAGATTAGTCGGTTCACATAACGGGCTTGATATCCATGTTAATAAAAAAAAGAAAAAAAAGAGTATTTAAAGCACCATCAAAAGCCACCAACAATTAAGAGGTCGGTTAGCGATGTTGATTTAGTAAGGGTGCGGTCTGGATAAGCACCGACAAAAATGATCGTTTTCCAAGTGTTAATGATAAAATATCATCTTGGGCCGGCTTGGTAAGTGAAATATGTGAGCGATTAGCATCGGTTTTAGGTGATATGGTCGATGCTGACTGAATCAATACCAATCAACAATAAGAAAAGATGTTGTAAGGAACATTTACAATGCATAAGTCATTAAAAGATTTTTTATTAATATATTTTAACAAAAACCTATTGTTACAAATCAATATAAAACCCTTTTCACAACCTTTTTCATCAATTACATTATAATATATCTCCATCTATTTTATAAAAGCCTCTTATTTAATTTTTTATTTTAAAGTTCATGAAAAATTACTTAACATTAAAATTCAAAAATAACTTGACATTTTCTTTTCCTTCAAAATGAAATTTATATTTTATTAAAAAGAATAAACTATAAAACTTACTCAGTTATTTTATCAAAATGAGTATACGATAAAACTTATGATACAAAAATATAATGACAAAAGCCACAAGGGTGGTTTGAGCTTGACTCTATAGGTCAAAAGTATCAGTAGATCTCAGGTTCAAATCCAAGGAAAAAAAAAATCCCCTTATGGCCACAGAGATTCAAATGCGGTGACTCCAGGCTATCTGCAAAGCAGGTGATCGTCCTGAGATTAGTCGGCTCGCATAACAAGTTGAATATCCATGTTAAAAAAAAAACCTTTCTCCAAAGACTTTAAATAGTATATGAATTGGAGATGCTCTTAGAAATTTTGGGATTTGAGAAAAAATTGTTTCAACAGTTATGCTAAAATCTTCTTTAACAGCTATCTGAACTCTTTTTTAAAATATAGAACGAAGAAGTATCCATATTAAAAAAAAGAATATCTTCCATATGCTCTCATCCAACAAAGGATAAATCATACATACATATAATAACAAGTTGAAATTCAACACAACTTATGTATTGTTGTTATGTTAAGAAAGGGTAAAAAGCATTTGATTCCATAATTGAATATTGTGGAGGAAGAACATGACATACATTGACAATACATGAACTCAACATCCCAACACCATATTTTGGAATCTTTTAATTTGCCATCAACATCAAGTCTAAAAGCAGAATCAATAAGACTGTTTGTTTTTATAAACTAATAAATGTCAGAATTTGTTTAAATTATCTATTTTATCCGTCACAAGATTTTAGTGTTGAATTTATAGATAAATTTATAAAATTTCATGTATTTATTTTTCATCATTACAAAATTTACATCTAAATTATATAATTGATAGTTTTTATACGCAAATATGGCATTGATGGTGTTTAACACATTTAAGTCCTATTAAAATATGTGAACTGAGATAAATGAGGGTCAATTTGGTAAGGATCGATTGAAAGAAAAGATCAATTAATGTTAATCGATTAAGAAATATCGTTGCTGCGGGTCTGGAGAACAATAAGAGGTAAATAAGATGTTGTTTTACCTCTTACCAGATAAAATAACTATAAAATATAAAGTGGAAAAGCAAATAGGCTAATAAGAACCTTTTTTTCAAAACAAACAAGGCCTTAGAGCATCAACTTACTCATAAAAGAAGGGCTTTTGATGTATGGATAAATAAGTCTGTGGATTAATCTGTCTGTATAGATAGAGATGGTTCTTTCATTGATGGAAGAAGCACCTTTTTAATTGGGAGAAATAGATTTTGAAAAAACTTGGTTTTCTGCATAAAGTCCCCCAGAAGCTTATTGAATAAGACACTTTATATATCATTAAACCACCACCAAATAGTCATATATAGCTGACCAAATAAGCCATAAGTCTCATTAAGCTCATTAAGTTATTAAAAAACAGACCCTAGGATGAGTTTATACTCTATAGATCTATCGGCTAGAATTGCATCCATTCTTCTCAATATACATTTCGAGTTTTTTCACTCTTTAATCGCTTTTTATAAAACAATATAACAAAATTCCACACATTTTCTCTCTCTCTCTCTCTCTCTCTATATATATATATATATATATATATATATCTATATACACACACATAGGGGTCCATTCAAGAAAGAACTGAATATTTTGTGGTAACCGTGAGATATAATCTCAACCACAAATCAATAGATAAATTAAGAAATTTATATTTTTGTTAATTTTGAATTAAAATTTTAATGCAAAGACATTTTAGGTATTTTCTCTCATCTCTCCTCTCTCCGTCCTCCGGCCACCGTCCTCCCGTGATACCACTGTGATACATAAAAATATTGACTATGTTAAATAAAAGATATATTGTGAGACCCAATCATATATAAGATGCATTGTGATACCATTGTGTTACATCTCCGATCAACCACACAAACGACCTCAATGTGATACCCAATCACATATATGATACATTGTGATACCATTGTGGTATCACCGGAGGACGGTGGCCGGAGAGAGAAGAAATGAGAGAGGAGAGTTTTAAAATACCAAAAATATCCTTGCATTAAAATTTTAATTCAAAATACCAAAATTATAAATTTCATAATTTATCTATTGATTTGTAATTAAGATTAGATCTCACGGTTACCACAAACTAATTAGTTCTCATTTGATTAGGCCCCTATACACACATATTTATCGATGCTATATTATAAAGCAGTTGACAAAAACTTTTAAAAATCTTTTTTTATGATTAAGTACTGTTTATTGATGCACATTACTTAATATTTAAGATTACAAGTAAATTGTGCCTAAGTACAATTTATTAAAGCTTCATTTTGAATTTGTATAACTAACTGTAAATAAACATAATCATATAAAAGATAAACATCTCATTTTAAATATAAAAAATCTAAAATATAATTAACATAATCATTGAGTTCTAACGAAATACTTAATTATTATCTTTATAAAAAGTTATATTATCAAACTAAAAATAAAAAAAATGAATTAAAGAAATACACAGAAAAAGGGAGAAATTTTAAATAGTTAGTTTGATACCAATATCAATTATTTTTTTTTTCAATTTTTAATAATATATCTTCATATTTATACTTTATTAAAAAATAAAACCATTATTGTTTTCTCAAAATCACATTATAACATCGATTAAGACAAAAATAATAAAAAGAAATATTAAAATTGAGTTGTATCTCGCTCCATTGTGCGAGTACTTTTCTAGTATATATATCGGTTTCACGTGAGACCAACCTATTTTCGTGAAACCCGTGAGATCACTTTTTTACACTTGAAACTTCACAGCAAAACATTGTGAATGTAAAAAAAAAACATGAACCTTCACAACAAAAACTTTGTGAAAGTTACTTTCACAACGTTTTGCTGTGAAGTTTCAAGTGTAAAAAAGTGGTTTCATGGGTCTCACGAAAACATATTGGTCTCATATGATCCCAGGTATATATATATATATATATGGGATAATGTAAGACAAATGATTTTTCGTGAGACCCGTAAGAACAGTTCTCAACCATTGGATTAGATCTACAATATGAAGATTCATAATCACAAAATTGCCACGAGACTTTTCAATAATCACAAAATTGCCACCCTGCAACTTTAGATCATTAGCTTATAAAGTTAATCAATGAGCATAAATTGGTCTTACGAGTCTCACGAAAATCTTTTGGTCTCACGTGAACCCAACCCTATATATATATATATATATATATATATAAAAGGTATATTTCAAATACAATCATGTCCATTTGTACAACCAATGCAACCTAATCAATTAAGATATTTATAGAAATGATGAAAGTTCATTTATTATGATTTGAATATTTATAGAAGATGATTAGAGTTTATTAATTATGATCAATACTTTATCTTAAGAAACAATCAAAACCTTTATGAAATCACATATTCATCAAATTAAATGGACGGTTGAGATTGAGTTGTATTGATTGTACAAATGTAGAGGGTTATATAATAACTCATCCCTATATATATATATATATATATATATATATATATATATATGATTTGTTTGATTGTATTATGGTGTGATATTCGGTTTCCATCAATGATTCTATTGAATGGTAGATTTTATTCGGTTCCAATAAAGTCGTGGATTCTTATTTTATTTGCTTCACTAGAAATGGAACTAGAAAGAGATA